AGGGATATGCTCATGCGTGTATTTCTGATGCTACGATGATGCGATCGGGGTTGGTCAGTTGGACTTGGACGGGTGAGCGGCGTGAGACGGCATTTTTGGGGGCCGGGTTTTTGATGAGGTCAGCGCGGGAGGACGGGAGAGGGGGCGAAGGCGAGAGTGAGATGTGGGAGAGCCAAGGCCGTTGGCATCGACGCTAGAAGGACCCGACGACGGGCGAGGAAGACCGGTGTTGGAGGCTAAGCGTCTGCGTAGTCAGCGGCGGCATCCAGTGAAGCGGTTCGAACGCGCACGTTGGCGAATGGCGAGATCTGAACGGACTGCGTGCTGCCGGAAGGCGATTTTGTCCTGCTGGAGGGGTGGTGGTGGGTGGCTGTGCACCTTGATGTGTTTTCTTAGTGGTGTCCCTTCTGCGTTGTCGATAATATTGCCTGCCCGTTGGTGGTAATAAACGGCGGACGACGGCCAAGTGGGAGGAGGATTGGGAACCGAAAGCGGGTTTGTGTGACATGGGATGTGTGGTGGGACGGGGCGCGCGACTGGGGAAAGGGAGGCGCCGCGAGGTAGGGAGCTATTTTTATACACATCTTTTTTGTTTGGTTCTCTAGTTAGGTATACTTTTCGGAACGATGCGATGAGTCGTTTTTGGGGCGGGTTGGACAAAAGAAGAGAAGTAGAGAATTAAACGCAGAAACCTTGTGTCCGGTTGTGGTAAGTGGTGCAAGTTTGGTCGACTGGGGGGCGTTGCGTATACGGGGGTTTTTTTTTCCCCTTTGTTGCACCAAATCGCTGTCGTCTTGCAGGTCGTAAAAAAAAAAAAACCACCCAATAATTCGCCCCTGCAAGAGCTGCATACACATACACACGTACTCGGGGGCCCGGGAGTTTGGGATGGCGCTTGGTGGAAATGGGAAATGGAAGGCCGAGACCGGCTTGCCATTGTCAAACCTCGGATTCGGCGCGGGTGGTTGAGAGAAGCCGTGTGTGTGTCAAGGCCGAGCAGGTAGATTCGGGGAAACCAAAGCAGAGTAGACAGTTCGTTGTTTGGATGTTTGTAGACCGAGGAAAAACCAAGGAAAAGGATTTCTTTTGGTGAAAAGTAAGGCCGAGATCGATGAACGGTGGCCGGGAAACCGTCCGGGAGACGGGGAAACAGGGAAACGGCGAGGGGGGGGGGGGCTGCTGGTGGTGATCAGACTTTCGTTGCCAACGATGCGTGCTGGGATCACGTAAAAAGTGCTCTGGATGTTGTGTCGATGTGCGGGAAGAAGAAAGCAGTGATGGGTGATGGGTTTGGTTGCTGGGGGATCATCACGTCACTGCGTCTGATTCTGCCGACATGCTCACCCCCTCCTTCCTTTCTTTCTTTTTCTGGGATCTACACGGCGCAAAATGATCGAACGGATGGGATATCCCGTGCGGAAGCCGTGGATTGCATGTGCGCATATTGGACGAAGCGGGAAGGAAGTTTCGGGCTCTCTTGCTGGGCACGAACAGGTTCCTGGGTTTTGGTTTCCCGTCGTCGGATGTTTCTTGTTATGCGCTCTTTTTTTGGGCTGAACTGGGAAGGATGCTGGCTGCATGAGCGGGAGGCAGGCAGAGGAAACATTGGACTGAAAGTCAATTGGAAGCCAGACGACCGCCGGTTCGCAAAGGCCAGGCCGGACGCTCTTTGCGTATGTGATAAATGTGAAATGCATGTCAGAGTTGAAAGAGATGGTCAGAGAGTGAGTCTCAGTCAGATTGAAGCCACGAGTTTGCTGCAAGGTCAGCTGGGCTGGGCTGTTGTTCTGTTCAGCTGCTGGGGCCTGTTCGCCTTGCCCTTTGCCTCGGCTGAATTGATACATCAAGATTGAAATGAAGCCTGCCTGGAGTAAAGCAGAGAGGGCTTAGGTAAGGCTGCCGTGATTCAGAGGGAGAAGGAACGATCTCAGCCACCCCGGATGGAGTAATTTGGGTGCAACAAGGCGTGTCTTTCCTTGAGTGAAGTCGTTGCGATGGTCTGATGGCCAATCAAGTGTTGCACGGGGTTTCTGCGCTCGTTGGGCTGAGTCTTGTTTCTCTCCCCCGTGCAACTGGTTTTATTATATTTCTTTCCCTCATTTGATGGGAGTGATTCAGGCAGGCGCCAACGGCTTGGGTCGGATGAGCTAAGGGTAGACAGGACAGGGGATATTAGCGGTACCTTAGCATAACGCTGCATTTAGGTGATGCAAGGTTTCACCTACAATGTCCCATCGCCAATGGCAACTGAACCGATCAAAAAAAGAAAAAGCAAAGCTATACTAGGTGACAGCAGAAGAGTCTGGGACAGCAGAAGAGTCTGGGATTCATTTGTTGCTAAGAAGTTGCCGGGCAATAGCAATCAATGTTGAGTTTGTTGATGGACGAGAAAATAGACTCTGCTGGTGCCGCCGCCACGGCCGTGACGCAAAGCACCCGACGAGTGAGGGGTCTAGCCTGCGGACCGGCATAACTCGACGACGATACGACCCAAGGAATTCATGTGTACTGCGTGGACAGCGACAGGACCCCGTGGACCCGGTTTCTCGGGGTCGGGACTTGTGCTGCTGCTGCTGTAACCCAGCGTTGCACTCGCTGAATTCTGAAAAAAGTCTGGAAGCTCGCACGATTCCGCGAGAAGAAGCCTAGTGTTCTGGACCAAACCCCGGTCGCGCGCGAGTTTCGTTTCCGCTTCATGATGCACACGAATAACACCCTGCCCTTTTGTCCTCTTTCTCTCTCTCGCGCAGACAACAACAGAGGCCACATGACTTGAACACCCTGGTGGTGGTACGCAGTGAAGCATCCACATGCCTCACCTGAAGACCTTTTCGGGAGGGAGAGTGAGAGGGTGACCCTTTTTGCCATTGAGGGGTTGGCGTCTTTTTCTTTCGCGTACCTACCGCCGTACACGAGGGAGATCCAATGATTAGCGGAGTTGCTCACTTCGCGACCCGTGATGAAAGGGCTCGTAATGGATCTGAGGGAGGTTACTGATCTTGGCCGATCGACGGTGCACCCAGGCTCCTTGGATGCTAAAGCTAAGGCTAACGCCCTCCTCCAACGGCTTGTCGGCTGCCCCCATGCAGGATGGATTATTCCCAGTGCCCCTAGGGCAGCATCTTTCGAGCCTGTATGTCTCTGCTGAGCTGCTCTCGTAAGTCGTACCGCAAAGTAAGATTTGACGCTGGTCAAGCCTCAAACGTCCACGTCCTCCGACTGCCGATCCAAACCGGCCATGTCCTCCCAGCAAAAACGTCCTGCGTCGGTTCACCCCCATCGACCGTTCCTGCGCCACCCTGGACGCCTCGCAGTCTGAGGTGTTGGCCTGCGGAATAACATCCGTAAGAAAGTCCTGGGAACTGCACAGAGTCCTGGGCGCGGCACTCACTGAAGAGAAGGGACGCCGTCGTGTGGGGTCCCTCTCAAGCTGCAGCAGCAAGTGCACGCAAAACGTCATCCCTCCAGCGAATCTTTTTTTCCCCCTAAAAATGCCACGCTAAGGCTGGACCGTCCGAGGAGATGGGGTACGTACCGCAAACGGACAGACCAAGTGGGGCGCGTACAGTATCCGGAGGGACGCAGAACTGCAAGAGCTGCGCCGATTCACCGTGTGAACCCGCTTTTACATTGCGGAGTGCATCCATCCATTGGAGAAAACGGCAGGAAGGAAAGAAAAGAAAAAAAAAAAAAAAAGAGGATGAATGCAGAGAGGGAAGCATCGACACTGCTCCAAGGGCTGTCCCTGCTGGAACATGCATCCTCGCCCATCCCTCCGCCATGATCAATGTACCTGGCCCCCTTGGCTGACGATGGGCAAGGTACGTACCGCCCTGGTCCACGTCGTTGGCAGTTTTCTCACCACCGACCCAGCACCAGCTCATCGGTGACCACCTGAGGGCAAGGCAAGGCACGGCAAGGCAAAGCAACGCCTCCTCACCTCACCTCACCTTGTCGTGCCATTGTCCACGCTCCTGTACCTGAACCTGGGCGCCGCCTCGCGACTTACGTACCAGCAATCCGTAACGAACCGTCGAACCCGTTCCCCTCCCACGTCCCTTACAGCGAGCAAACAGCACGCAGTACAGACAGTCCACTCAACACGTAACGGGCTCCATTCCATCCACCGAAATCCCCAAGCCCGCTTGAGGTTACGCAGCTTCTTCCCTCAGCTCAGCTCATCAGTACCACGGAAGCAAAGCACAGCACAGCACAGCACAACCCGCAGCCGAGCCCCTCCTCTCCTCTCCCAGGTAGGCTCTCCTCTCTTCGTCCCGTTCCTCGACTCCCGGAAGCCTCCATCCAGCCTCACCTCACCTCGCTCAACTCACACGCCCCCCTCTCTCGCCATCTCATCTCTCCCGAGTCCCGTCCCCGTCCACGTCCACCCGACCAGGGATCCAGCGTCTTGTGTCGTGTCTTACCTCTCACACTAGATCCGAGCATGTTCATGGTCTAGGTTGTGCCTGTGCTCGACAATACCTTACTTACTACCGCGTACACACAAATACTAGGTACAGTATACACACAAACAACCCAAGACCTTGGTCCAAGGGTATTGTGCACGCCATCAGATCCATTCCCACACACTCACACCAGCTAGTCCCGGTCGTGGTCTCAGTCCCGCACTCGCCGACTCGTTTCCTGGCCCTGGGCGTCCTCCACGTCCGTGGTCCCTTTGTTTGAATTCATAATACCCGTCCGCCCCGTCCGCCCTCCTGCCACCCGAAAGTCTGCTTTTGCCTACTTCTGGTCTGGACCAAAACTGTTTGTACCTGTCTGTCGAAAGCTGCAAAGAAAGAGAGAAAAAAAGTCGTTGGGTGCCGAGAGAGACCACACCAGCTTCGGAGCTCTCTAACATCGCCTCGGTCCAGCCTCAACCACATCCAACCATTTCGATACCCTCGCCTCTTTCTTTGCCGCAGCAGGTGTCACACAAGCCAGGTTCAGCCGGAAACTAGACTAAGCAAGACTGAAAGACGCAGTTCATGTTGCCCAGCATGACGTCGAGTAAGTTGTCGGTTTCTCGTGCCACCATTAAATCCTTTGGCCACTTCTCCTTCTCTTCTTCTCAAACCAATCTCTCCGACCCCGTCCCTCCCCAGTCCTCCCGCGGCCACAGACACCACAGCGTCTCCGAACCCGTACACGACCAGCAAGTATACGGAGAAGCCGTTCAATACCCCTACAACACCGGCGACAATTATTCTCGCCCGCAGCCTCCCGTCTCCCCGAAGCGATCCCGCACCGAAACCGACCTCAAGTCACAAACACGACCTACCACGCGGAACGGCCGAGACCACCTGGTTGTTGAAGAGAGGGAGAAGCCAGCCGAGCCAGTGCTCGCGCCAACAAGGCCTCCCAATAACAGAAAGTCCCGATCTTGGGGCAACCGCTTGTCTGCTCTGTTCCCCTCGCTCATCGTCCAACCAACAGATCAACCCGCGCATCCTCCCCCGCCGCCGCCTCAGCTGCAGCAGCAGGTCCCGATTCACCGCAAACCGCTGCCCGACGACTCACCGACCTCGCCCTCCGACAGCGCGCCCTCATACCACACGAGTGAAAATCCCACCGTCCGGCCAGTGACGAGCTCGGGGTTGGGCCTTGGGATCGCTCCTCCGGACGCTGAATCCCTCGACCCACAGCCGCCGGCTGCCCCTACTGATGCACCGCCTCCTGTTCCTTCAAGAATCCCCGCACCGCTAGACTCTGAAGCCATCTCATCCGCCCAGGTCGAGCAGCCTCTGATCTCCCCCCCCGAACCTCCCACACCCACAACACCAAACACAATGGCCGCCCCCTTGCCGCCTCAGCAGGCGCCTCCGCCGGTCCCGGCGAAACTGCGCAAGGAGAAGAACCTCCCGACACCTCCCCCGATCCCGGCAGACAATACCCACCTGCCGTCCCCGAGAGCCGTCTCAGGGCCCGAAGTGGCGTCGCCCGGAAAGCTCAGAAAAGAGAACAACGAGCCGCGCAAGAGGAGCAGCTCCTTCCACCAGGGTCGGAGAGGCTCCATGGCCTTCTTGGGTCTGCGATCGACGTCCCCGGGTCCTGATTCGAGGGGACGAAGCACCTCTGCGCAACCGCCCGGCGGCAGGACAAACACTGGCAGCTCCGCCGCGAATGACTCTACCGGCAGCGGAAGCCCGACCCGTGATGAGAGACGGGGTCGCCTCAGGAGGAGCTGGCTTCCTGGCGGCGGAAGATCGCGGTCCAATTCGCAGGACGTCACCGGAAAGTCCCAGAATTCACAGGCCTGGGTGTTGTCGCAGGACACGGTCGGCGATTACAACACATCGTTCCTATTGAACGCGGAAAAGGTAAGCTTTCACGCACGTGTTGCGCAACATCGGACGGGAGCTAATTTGCATGGCAGGTCCCGGAGTTGTGGAACGAAAGCGGCAACGTCTACGTTTACCTCCAACCTAAATCCGCCAACGGCCAACCGTCGTTCAAGGTTCCCAGCTTCTCCATCATCAACTCGGTCATCTTCAATGAACTCATCCAGGCGGAAATGTCGTCTCCCACCGGCCGTGCCCGCGGCAGGAGTTTTGGTGGTCGGGACAGCCTCTCGGTCGATGACGCGTTTTCCCCGCCAGTGTCGCCGCCTTTGGAAGGTCAGGAGAGCCCCGGCGATGCAAGGTTGTATCTGCCGGCCACGCCCCCGCAGTACACGCAAAACGGTCAGCTCGCGCCGGGTCCCCAGCTCCGCGCCGACCTCGACCGGCTTATCGCCGTCCGCAATCTGTTCGCCTTCCTGACCGGCCAGCCGCTTGTCGCTACCAAGGCGCACCCCACGACATTTGCGGCATTCTGCCAGATTTCCAAGCTCTTGCAAGAGTATGGCTTCACGAACATGGACGGCTCATCCTTTGGTGAGTCCGTCGACCTTAGCTTCGGCTTCTTCATGGAGCAGCTGGCGTTGGCCGATGTGCGACACAGCCGCGAGAAGACGCTCGAGTCGCTGATTCTCGGCGAGCGCATGCGATCGATGGAGCTGTACAACGAGGCGTTTGCGCACGCGGTGGGCAAGTACACCGCCATCATGGAATTGCACTCGCCCTTGTTCGAGCAGGTGTCCGCGTACACGAGACAAAGACTGGAGCGCGCCCACCTGGACCTCGTCAACAGACAGCACAGCGTCAATGTCAGGTTGGAGCAGTTTGAGTTCCCGTCACTCTTTGCCGGCATCGCCAGCTCGACGTCGAACCCCGAGCTCAAGGCGATTCGCTTCAAGGTGTGGCAGAAGTACTTCAACAAGATGAGGTCCTTCGTCTTGGGCTACTACAAGACCAGCTTCGGCGCCTGGCCCCCCAAGGCCAGCAGCAAGAAGAACCCCTTCTCCGAGAGCGGCCTTAACCGCCTCGTGCTGAAGGCGTTGTACTCTGACATGTGCGCGCTGTACGACCTGCTCGTGGACCGCGACAACATCACCACCAGAGTGATTGACGGCAACGCGGACGACGACGGCAGGTCTACCGACAGCCCGATGATTGTCAACCTGCGCAAGATGCTCTTCGAGTTCGACAACTCCACGCCTCCCGTGCTGCCGCCGGTCCCCTTCGACGTGCCCAAGATGCCCACCATGAAGTCCATCCACGCCAACTATGACTCCCTCGCGCCCAAGGAGCAGGCCAAGATCGACCGCAAGATCAAGGAGCACGAGCTGACCCTCATCCTTCAGAAGGCGTACAACTGGGACGCCAACAGCATCAACATCCCGTTCCTGCTCGAGTTCAAGGAGTTCGAGCAGCACGAGGGCAAGGGCAAGAACGCGGCCGACCTCGCCGACCAGCGCATCGGCTACTGGCTCTTCCTCTACGTCGTCATCCAGTCGCTGCCCATGCTCACGGTCGACGCGCCCAACCTCAAGTTCAACGAGGGCGTCGAATACTTCCTCTGCGAGCCGCCCGTCGGCAACCCCCCCTGGATGGAGGACGCCCGCCACGTGCGCAAGATGTGGTACGAAGTGTCTGGCGGCACGGGCTACGTCGAGCTCTCCGCCGACAGCGTCATGTTCAGCGTGGAGGCCATCCACCACCGCAGCCACTGCTGGCTCGCGGCCAAGGAGTGGGAGGGCCTCGGCGGCTCGGCCGCCCCGCCACCCCAAGACGCAGGTATGTCGCCCCTCGAGCCGCCGCGACCCGTCTTCCCTGGCCCGGACGGCATCGTCGGCAGCCCCCAGAGCCTCGGCACGCCGCCGCCGCCGGGATCGCCGCAGTCGCACCTCCGCCCGCGCAACGCGTCCCCCGGCGGCCGCCAGCTCGGCAGCCGCAACGCGCACCGCTCAAGCATCATCATCGGCCTCGAGCCCGTCGGGTTCGACGATCCCTCGGGCATGGGCATGCCGGGCGACCGCACGTCGCGGATTGCCAGCAGCGCGCGCAGCAGCTCGGCCGGCTCGCGCCCGCTGAGCATGGTGATGCCGCGCTCGCCGTCCGCGACGAACCTGCGGAATATGTCAGTCGACACGACGAACCACCACAGCAACAGCAACGACTCAGGCATGACGTTTGACGATATCCTCGGCGGCGGGGAGGAGAAGAAGGCCAAGAAGAAGAAGGGCAAGTTCTTCTAGGCGGACCTGTCTTTGACTCTTGTACATGTGAGGAGGGGTGTATTTATACCACCAAAAACCATAATCTGGGGCTCTGCTTTTCTTGAATCATTTCACAGCGCGCATGGTCTTTTCACGACGAAGCTTGGATGGGCTTTGCTGTCTTGCACAATCGTTTTGCATTTTCAACACCAAAAAAAGGGAGAGAGAAGGAAGAAACTGGGGTATTTTTAACGACTACGTCCATATTGCGAGAGAACCGGAGGAAGCATAAGGAAAGGGGAAAAGAACACATTTTTGGAATTTCATTTGCGTTGCTTTTTGAAGGGGGTGGATAGGGAGGATACCATAAAACATTGCATAGTTGGGAAGGGAAAGTAAAGAAGTAAGGGGAGGGGAGAGGTTGATAGAGAAGTAATCGAGGCCTTTAGGGTCATATTCAAGTTTTGAGAGTATATTTGCTTGGTGTTTATGGTGATGCGATGTGATGTGACGTGAGATGAGATGAGTGAGGGGGCCTTGGAGAGGTTAGTAAGCAGGTGGGTTGGGTATTAAAGAGATGGTTCGGGGGGAGGATTTGGCTGACGCGGCGGGAAATCAGAAGATGGTAACCTGATTTGTCAATCGAGGAATGCTACCTCCCAAGTTTACTGCCTGCTCGGCCGGCTTAAGACGAGGGTGGTAGGCGGGTGGTGATGTTGAAAAGGGGGATTTTGCGTGGGTATTCGGAAGGGATGTTGCAGAGAGATGAGAGGGGAGATGATGGACGGCGGGCTCGGTTGGGATATGGGATGTGTTTGATTGGAAGATGGGGGTCATGCTGCTCGGATGCGGTGGTGATCTTGTCGCTGAGAGTATCCTAAATTGGATCCACAGCATCTTTCAATACTGCCATTGTTGGTTTGGTGGAGTGTTTGGTGCAGGAGAACCGATGTGTTTTATACTTGTCTCTGGGGATGGGGCATTAGATGGGGAAGGGATGGAAGGCTGCGGGGAGGCTGATGGGACAGGACGGGCTATAAAGACTGTCAGAGGGAGAGGATGGTTTGTTCAAGCACCCAATCCGAAGGTCTCTGCAAGTTTGTAGATATGGGTTGTTGGCGTGGTGTCATCTTGGATGTGAATTGAGGGCTTTGGGATTTGTCCGCTGGCTTGAGGCTGCCTTTCGGATAGGAGACTCGGTGGGTAGATGGGACGGGGGGTGTATAAGCCGGGGATAGAAGAGGAGAGAGGAGATGAAGTTGAGGCAGGGTGAAGGAGATCAGGTTCATTTAGGACGGGTTAGAAGACTGATGGGGGTTGGCTTGTGGTGGACCACACCTGGGAACCTGAGAGCAATCGCGAACCATATGGGATACGGCAAAACTGCCTTGTGAAGATCGAGACTCAGAGACGTGCGGGATGTTTTATAGCACTGCTGGTTGTTTGTTTGCCTGGATTCTTGGGGGTGGGGATAGTTTGGGACGGATTTCCGGGGGGATATAAAGATGGGTGTTTGGGGAGTGTGGGGGATGTGCAAGTCACAATCGAACGGCGAGTCTGCGCGAGGAGAATGCTGCGACTGTGTGGCCCAGTTTCCCTTCAACTCTTGCAAGCAGGGTGTATCAATCAGGACTTGTGTGCGTTGTTGGAGAGTCTGAGAACTCGGCATCACGGTGTTACGCGCCTAGGGGCCGTGGATTCGTCTCGAATAATACGGCAATAGAGGGCTTTGACGACGACGGGGAACATACGTCAGATTCCGGTAGTCGAGTATCTCGCTGGGGGTTTGATGAGTTTCCCTCGCGGGTTGGCTTGCGCTTTTCGAGTCTTCGTCTCGCAGACGATGTGAAGGATAAGAAATTCATTGAATATCATTTGTTGCTTGGTCGAGGAGTCCTTCGGGACAGATGGGGTGGCTTATATACCTCCAGTTGGCGGCCTAGAACCAGAGATGAAAGGCGGTCTTGGTGACCTGGGCTCTTTTGGGAGTTGTTTTAGCCTTGAGGGGGAAGGACAGAGGCGATGGTGCGGTGAGTGGGAGGTATATATTGGGCACGTCGAGGGGGGGTACGATGGTTCTGCAGCAATCACATCCATTCGCAATAGTTGTGCAATGTCGGGGCTTTTCCTCTGTACTATGGCTCGTCAGCATGATGAACACGAGCGCTTGGGTTTCTCCCACGGGAGACTTTATTGGAGGACTGATCCGCAGCGAATACGTGGAGGGGGTACGCCAGAGAGGCTGACGAAGGGTGACGAAAGACGAGGAGGCGAAGGTGACTACAGGATTCTTTTGATAGAGATGATTTGGCGGGGATTGGGTTGAAAGTTATGTGGAGAGGCTGAATTGGACAATGTGTCTCTTTATTGGTGCGAAGGGTACAACAGCCATGGACAGCTGGTTTTCTACCATGTTGAGATTTGGGCTGAGGGATACCTGCCGCGTATGAATGCTTTCTTGAGAACGAGGATGGTGTTTGGTGAGATCATTCGGGCGCTCTCCGTGAGCTGGGTTGATGAAAGTTGTGACACATGCTGTCACGGTGAAGGCCCGCGGTATATAATGCGATGTTGTATCCAGGATGAATCTGTCGAGCAACAATCATAGCCGTCTACGTCCCCATGGCTCGTTGCAAATGTGCTGTTAAGAATGGCGAACATGTTCTCGGAGACCCAGTATCGACCGAGGCCGTTGAAGCCAGTTGTCGTGAGGAAGTTTAGTTTCTAAGAGCCTGTATATTCTTGCCTGATACAACCGGACTGATGGAGACGCTGGAGGGCGGCAGACGATCTGAGGTTTTGACAACATTCAGAGGGGGGGCGCCAATTGAGTCTGCGGACGGGTGTTGTTGTTTCCATGTGATGGTAAGGTTCAATACCAGAAAGAGACCGCGCAATTGCTGTGTGGTAAACAGGATAACCGGCATGTGTCTTTTATAGTATCTTAGCCTGGGAGATAGACTCGTGGTATTAGGAGAGATTGAGGGGTTGAGTCTGCTAGCTAGCTGGTATAAAGCAGAACCAGGCATGACCGTCGCTTTCCACCAGGGCAACTTTTTCATTCGACGACAGTGCCGTGTGCTCGGGATGTTTCGACCGTTCAACACACAAGCCAAGAGTGAACCCTCGATGACAGACAAGTTACCCTACGATGCGAGGTTTGTTTTGTCACGGGATGATTCGGGAGCGATATGATCTTGGATTACGATGGTGAAGGACACCGGAGAGCGTGGTAGACTCTGCCGCTATGGTGTAGTAGGCGGTGCTTGACTTGGGATTAGTGATGATGTAGCCTGCCTGGTGTATCTTAGACAAGTTGATATGGGCAGAAATGATTGCGGCCGAACTTGGACTGAAACATGGAGTTCTGGCTTTTATACCATTGTGAGACGTACTTAGCTCTGACGTCTTGACCGGGCTCGGAACGATGGCGGGCAGCAAGCCTTGTGGGGGGCACGATCCAGTCGTTGACCGCAGGCTTAGTGAGTGAAGAGAAGGGGTTGTGAGTATAAAACAGGACCGATCCAGATTGGAAACTCATTAAGCAAGAATCAACAGACTGATCCGTTATGTCAAAATCCCATAACTCGATAATCTGAGCGGCGACATGAAGTTTCGGAGTATGACAATCTAACGTGCAACGACACGCACCAGCATTACCGATATCCCAAGCCCGTAAACGAGTATGGCGCATACTTTAAGGGGGGACGAAACCGGGGACCGATGGCCAAGGATGGGGAATGTGTACGGGGAAGCAGCATGTATTTGTGATGGATGCAACTGTACTCGTTGGCTGATCACGTCTATCAAATGCTCTAATGGACGGCCTCTTACTCGATTGTCCTGGCTCTCAAGCTCAAAGACTGCAACGGAGTCTGCCTTTTAAATGACATCCTTTGGTCATTTCGCAGTTCCCCTTGTGACGAGCGAACAGGCAAGAACGCAATGTAAGAATCTGAAGCATCATATAACACAGAAAAGTTCGTCTCTCGGGGGGTTCTGAGCGCGATTGATTTGGACGTCTTCATTATCATTTGCAGTACTGGACACTGTTTCGGGGCGCTGCTCAACTTATTTACTGGGCCGGATCAGACAGGGCCAGAGGTTTGGGGCAAGGAAGGAGCTGGCGGTGGCTGGGAGATTATTCCGTGCAAACACGTAGAAGTACCAACTGAGATAGAAGATGAGGAAGAGAGGCGGCTAGGTTGGAGGCTGTGGTGGTTATGTCTGAGATTTGGCTGCATGTGACGTAGGGTGCGAAGTGTTTGGGCATGACGAGACTTAGGGGCTTCGAGCAGAACTCCAGTTAAAGGCCATTGGACTATTCTATTTACCTTTTGATAAATAACGCGACAGTTTTAGTCCTTAAATATTCTGCGACGGCGTAAAGCTGATCCTTGCTCAGTCTTCTCACATGATGCATGATGTGGTGCTCAACGGCAGCGACACCTCCGGACTCGGCCGAATGATTCATTCAAGCGAGGCGAAGAGATTGATCTGCATACAATGTCAGAAGTATATTTTTGACTGATCATGGTAGCATTGCATATCAGGCAAGGATGTGGACAGAGCTTCGAGTTCCACTCTGAGAAGAGCATCTCGATGAGATCTCGTTCGTGCCCTGAATCTTATACACATGAGCATTCCCCGCCATTCAAAGACAGACACTGGCAGCAAGACGTTTATTTGGATGAAGACACAAAGTCGACAGAGAGGATGATGGCGGACGTCGATCGTGGTTGGCGACGCTGCACATGCTATCCGTAGGTAGCCCTTGATTCTCCAGAGGGGGCTCTGTCACCGTGAATAGAAAGAAAGAAGACCGCACCTCTTGATCAGAGCATTGTCTCTCTAAGTCAGATTCAACAAAGGGACCATGCATATATTTTTATCTCGCCGCAGCCTGACTTCCACTGAGGTTTATATAAGACCCCCACAACTTGAGTCGTCGTCTATGAAAGGCATTCATTCTCCGTTTTCATATCTTCTGGCAGTCGAAAAGAGCAACTATAAGTTTACGCTGGCTATGTTTGTTCCAC